CCGAGGAGCTAACCGTTGAGCTAACCATTTAGCTAACCGTGGAGCTAACTCTTGAAGCTAACTCTTGAGCTAATCGTGGAGCTAACCATTGAGCTAACCGAGGAGCTAACCCCTGAGCTAACCGAGGAGCTAACCGTTTAGCTAACCGAGGAGCTAACCGTTGAGCTAACCATTTAGCTAACCGTGGAGCTAACTCTTGAAGCTAACTCTTGAGCTAATCGTGGAGCTAATAGTTGTGCTAACCATGGAGCTAACCGTTTAGCTAACCGAGGAGCTAACCGTTGAGCTAACCATTTAGCTAACCGTGGAGCTAACTCTTGAAGCTAACTCTTGAGCTAATCGTGGAGCTAACCATTTAGCTAACCGTTGAGCTAACCGTGGAGCTAACTGTGGAGCTAAGTCTTGAAGCTAACTCTTGAGCTAATTGTGGAGCTAACATTTAGCAAACCGACAGGAGGGACTGAAACAAGAACTTCATGCATGAATCATTAGAAGTTTTGTTAAAATGAATCTGAGTCTTTTGATGAAGAGTTCTATAAATTTGACATTAATTTCAACCAAAGTGTCAAAGGAAGGAAAAAATACACGACAGAAAAGACAATAATCCAGCAGATTTACTCCTCAGATGAAGGATGGGTGAAAACCAAAGCAAAGCTTTATATAAACAGAGAAATGTTAAATATATCAGAGGTGAGGTGAGGCCACCATCCGCTGCTTGGGACCATTTCCTTCCAGCTCAGCTGATTGAGCTGCAGGATTTCCAGCATATTTCTGATTCCATCCATTCAGACGTGTTGCTGAACATCAGCAGCTTCAATAAACGCTCAATTTAATAATCTTTGAGTCCTCCTCTTCTTCCAGGGTCACCAGCTGTGGGTCCTGGATGCTCCCAGACTTTTGCACCGACCTGCCCTCGGCTGCAGCGCCTCGTGTCACAAGCTGCATCTGCAGCTGTTCTGCACATCCAAGGCTCTTTGAAGTTGCTTTTCTTTACACTAATATTAGGCACTTTGGCGCCATGTGGCCCCTTGATCGGGGATGCAGAGATAAACCTGATGGAGGCGACAAAGTGCCATCATGGTGGGTTCAGGCCTGCAGCGCTGCAGGAGCTGCTGAGCTCAGACTTTAGTGTTTCCTCTGTTGTTCCACCAGCTGCCCTAAATCAGCCACAGCGACGGCCTGGTTCTCTGAAACATTCAAATTAGGAAAACATCAGGAATCCTTCGCTTGGAGCAAAAGCTTCGCTTTCTGTCTCCAGTTTGGCCAGTATGGCTCAGAGGAAGAGACGTCCCACAACCAGCTGATTGCCCAACAGACCAGGATGACTGAAGCCACAAGGTTCCACTTGATGCATGTTTATCACAAATTATTTAGGGAGTAAAACTGAATAATGGAAAGGGGGGGGATAAGAACTAAGGAGTGAGGAAAGGGTGCATGAAAAGAGAGAAAACAGCAACAATAGAGACAGATGATCTAGAGAAGCTTCAGAAGTCTGCTTCTACACCTGGAGGAGGCAACCGAAGATCAGGAAGCTTCCAGAGCAGCAGGTACCAGGTGAGTGGAAGGAAAACCTGTGGTGATTCCTCACCATCATTCACCGTGGAATTTAGCTGCAGCTCAGTGTTTAGGATTAGTGTGAATCTGTGAACATCTGGAAACAAATGCACGAGCATGCTGGTGTAAAAATGATTCCAAAAGCTAAAATATGCTCAATAGCAGGCGTGGGCGGCCCCAGACCGGCCCAACAGGCCCCTGGACAGACAAAAGGCGACAGGAGTCCCAGAGGGACCCCAGATCACTGGGACACGAGGAGGGACACACCCACCAGTGAAGGGCCAAACCCAATAGGGGCCCAGTCCCTGAGGGGCCCGACCCCAAAGTGGAGCTTAATTTTATTACGTCTCGTTTAGTTTGTTCGGTTTGAGCGGCCATCTGCTGAGGCCGACCGACTGGGGTTCAAGGAGACAGAAGCAGACATAGAAAAAGAAGCATAGATATTGCCTGGCTGTGTGTTTCCTGGACGGGGCCGCCTGTGGAGCTGCTTGACAGTTGCCTTTTGCATCTATGCTTCTTTTTCTATGTCTGCTTCTGTCTCCTTGAACCCCAGTGGGCCTCAGCAGATGGCCGCTCACACTGAGCCTGGTTCTGCTGGAGG